TTAGCGTAAGGCTGGATGGTAGATCTAACTATGGGAAAGTGGAGGAGACATACTGGAATGCCATCCTCTTATTGTGTGTGGGCCTTCTCATTGTCATCTTTTATGAGCTTTGAAATGCATCTCTGGAAGTGAACAAAGTATTTCCTTTGAAAACCCAAGTAGCGTATTCCTAAATCCCATGCCATCTATTGATGAAATTGATTTTACGCTCATTTGATTTGTTTCTTTAATGTCTTTATTCCTTTAAAAAGTAGTTAAGTTTTTTCAGCATTGGGGAATTAAATGCAAACTATGATTTTGGCCAGAGATCATGTACTGAATAAAAATGATCCAGAATACAGAGTAGTAGCTCACTACCACGGAGGAAGTTTATGCTTATGTAATATGTGTTAAGGATGAGCTGCCTTTGGGGGATTATGACTCATCCCGAGTGCTGGGGAATATGATGAAATATAAGTCTCAAACAATGCATTTTTTTCTTAGCTTTCAATTTTCCCTTTTCTTCTCCAACTTCCCTTAACTCCAGTTAAGATTTGGAATCATATAGAAATAAGCTCTAGTTTTCCCCTTTCTAATTTTAGCCATAATCTCATTTTAATCTTAAAACCAACCTAATTCTGAAGAATTTCTGGTAAGTTTCACCATGTAAAATACTATAAAACTCATGTCAGAGATGCCATTGACATGACCGGGTCCATGGATCGTGTTGTCACACATGCTTGCTTCCAAGGTGTGCCCCAAAGCAGGGAAAAATCACACCAGCCAGTGACCCAAAGACTAGAACTAATACCTTAAGAAGTTTTCCAAAAGATAAAAGGAATCTCAATAAATATTCAGTATTCTGTAACAGACACAAACTAAAGAGGAAACAAAAGTGCTACAAGGAGTACTTTTCAGTGTCACTTGTGGTCCCTGAATGAAAAATCTTTTCATGCTAGTTATTATGCAAGCAAAACTTAAGTACCCTATATGATACTTGGTGAGTTAGGTTTTCTACTTTGGTTGGTGGGAAGAGGAAGTATTCTTGGTCCTATGTGAGCTCTGATGATTATATGCTCTAATCCTCTTGGATAGTTTCTCTGTGGGCCCTGGGTAGATTCCACCCATGCATATGCTCATCAGTACTCTGCTGAAGACTCGAGGACTGTCTGCAAAACTCCTGAGCACTCTCTGTGCAGCGTTCTCCTCTCTGAAATCCTGCTTTGCAAATGCCAGTTGCTTTGGCCTTCCCATAGTCCCAGCTCTATCTGCCCAGCTCGGGGAGACCACTGGCCAGTTGTATGAGTTTCCCTATCAGTGCTGTGACCCAGAGAGTCTCTCCAAGCAGTAAGCTAGGACAATCACAGGGTTGTACAGTGATTCAGAAATCATTGTACTTCATTGCCTTGTGTCCAGTGGCTCGAATACCATTGTCTTGTTTCAGGTGTGAAATCCAGTCCTGATTACTTTAGCTTGAAGAAAAATCCCTCTAGGGCTATTTTAAGGTTCTTAAGATCGTTTCCAGTACTCACTTTTTGAGGCTCTAATTCCTATGATAACAAACCCATAAAGAGTAACCTATATCCAACCGTAAATTTTTATTTTGTGGCAAAGTGAAATGAAAAGATTTTAACTATTCTTTTGAAACTATTTTTCTGAATCACTAATTTAATTTACAATTATCTATAGTTTCTCTGCAAAGGAATTTTTAGAATTAGGAATATCTCACCTATAAATTATTTTCAAATTAATTAAATTGTTATGAACGCTAAGTTTAATTCTTCATGAAGTTGTCAGAGTTTTATCTTTTTAGGCATATTCTTACATATTTATTCATTTGGCTTTGCATATTTTTGGTGCCTTTTAAAAAATGTCTTATGTATTTTCATTGGCTTTTACATAGCTCACAGGCCCTAGGAATTGGGCCTACAGTATCTAATGGATAAAACAGCCCTGCTTTCTTTTGGAGTTCAGAGTGGTGGTAACTACCAGTTATAGTAGTTTTAATATCACCCCAGCTGTGGTCTCTGGGTTTGGGAAGGCCTTTGTTTCCCAAAATGCCAATAAGGCCCCTTGAAAATTTCTAGATTTCCCTTCTGGATTTCTAGATTAGGCAGTAGGCAAGAATAAGTTTGTTCCCTTGGCCCAAACTGTGACCTTTATCGCAGGTGAAACAGTTTTTTCATATCTAAAAAATTCTCATGTCCTAGGGGCTCTGTTCTCAATTCTCCTAAATGGGTGGTTTTCCATCAGGGGTGGTCCCCATGCCCTCCTCTCCCTCCTTGAAGGGGACATTTGGCAAAGTTTGGAGACACTTTTAGTTGTCACAGTCAGGTTGTGGGGGGAGGATTGCTACTATTGGAATCCTGTGGGTAGAGGCCAGGGATAGTGTTAAACTTCCAGCAATGCTCAGGATAGTCTCTCACAGCAAAGAATGATCTGGTCTGCAAGTTCAACAGTGACAGAGTGAAGAAACACTGTCTGAAATCAATGCTGGCTAAAGTACAGAATTCTTGGGCTTACTCAGAAGCGTACAATTGGGGGGGGGGTCTTTTTGTTGCTGCCTAGTTGATTTTTAAATTTTTAAATTCAGGTCATCCTATCTTTGAAGGGAACCACCATGGCAGTTTTAGAAAAATTAACTCAACCTATGTCTATAGAGAGAGCAAGTTTGAGCTTCCTTAAAATCATAGATGCTGGGCTGCTGGGAAGGACCATAGGTAGGGACTTTGACAACTGGCATTTTAAGTCACATCACGGCCAGAGAGGCCCCAGGGAGTCCTGGAGACCCTTTTCAAGGATGATGATGTCCTGTGCAACTTCTTTCACTGATGGGCTGGATCCAACTTTGCACAGTTTAGAAGTGTGAGAGGTTTATCCCCATCCTGTTGTCACCATGCTCCATCACCATCCGTTTTCAGTATCACTTTGTAATCAGTAATTATTTTGTATTTGTCCTAATGGGAATTATTATACTTCTCATAAACAAGAGGAAATTTTGTAGAAAATTCAGCAGGAACACATGAGATGGCATTGATTCATATCCCAGTGAAGTCTGATTCATAATATATTTACCCACCTAGAAATGAAGTGCTTTATCTGAGTTAATTGGCAAGAAACAGCAGTGTCTATCAATGTTCGTCTTTTTTTCCTTTTATGTTCTTATCTGATGTGGAAATAACCAATCCTGTGTTTCTTATCCTTGATATATCCTGATTATGAGAATTTGTGAGCTGCATGTATGAAAACAAATTTTGATAGCATGTCTAGCTCATTCTTGAACTTCATACATTTGACCTGGTTTTGTTATTAGAATTTCACAAACCTGTTAGTCTGATTCATATCTTTGGAACCTTTGCTTTTGCTGGTCCCTTTAGCTGAAATGTTTCTCCCCCTGGTATGATAGGGGATCACCTACTCTATTTTAATAAAAAAAAATTAAAACATTTTCTTAGGCCCCTAAAACATATTGTTGTCCCTAGGCCCTGTGCCTAATGGATAAGACATCTCTGACCGCAGGAGTTAAAATTGATAATTTTTTTTGTGCCACTGTTATCCCTCTTACTTACTTTTATATTAGTACCTATAACACATTGTTATACTTGTGCATATATTTGTTTTTCAGTCTTCTGAGATATTTAGGTTAAGTGCAAAATGAAAACAATACATGGTTGTCAAATCAATTCATTGTATGTTCTACATATAGATTCCTTTCTTATTGTAGAAAATTTTTCCTAAATCCTAAAGTAGAAGTGACAGATGTATTATGAGTACTATAACAGATAATATCCAACTTTAACTGGAAAAATTAAGTTGCCTAAAACTTTTAAATGATTTAAATAACATGATTGGTATGGACTTATAAAGCATATAAGATTACATTTGATCAGAGAAAGTTTTAATTGACAAATGAGAAGTTGGTGTCTCAAAAAGAGAAGGAAATGTATTTTAAAGTTTCATTCTGGAAGAGGGTAAGGAGAGACTTAGTAAAAATAGAAATAAATTAATGACATTAACATTCATTTATGACCTTTAACAAAAGTACAGTTGGCCATTTAAATAGACTAGGAATCCCAGTGTCACATTTTATGCCATAATCCAAATCCACAAGAACTGTTGGTAGGGATGACAGAGAAACAGAACAAATGAAAAATAATAAATAACTATGAAGATCAGTTTTGCTTTGGATAGAGAATAAAAGAGGTAGTGGGAAAAAATTTTTTATCCGCTTTGAAAGTTTCATAAAAGCCTAAAATCTTCATTTCATTGCTTCTATTAAGAAGAACCAAAATTGACCCATCTCCTAATACAAGAATATTTTCAGTTCAAAGCAGGACGGAGATGTTCTAATAAAATATTAATGATAATCTGCTGTTGCCCAGTGCTCCATTCTTGTAAGTTAGGTGAGTGTATTATTGCTTCAGTGTTTTGTGTTTGGGTCACATACACTGCACTGAGGGAACCCGGTGAAACAGATCAGTGATATATTAACCCAAAGTAGTTCATGGCTGTGTAGTCAAGGGAGCAAGGGAAAATGAAGGTCAGAGAAGGATGTCAGGGATTAGTGCCTCTATACTAAATGTCAGCTCCAAAGGGAAAGGCAAGGGCATAATAAGCAAACAAGCCCCTAGCTTGCAAACTGGGTGGATTAGGCACAAGTAGGCATCCATGCAGGATGGGCAGCAACAAATGTTTTATACCAGAAACTGTTTTTCATGGCACGAGGGCAGTCTACCAGGCACTATGTAGCACCAGGCAATTGGAATTCTATTCACTACAGCTCTGTGCACAAAGAGCTCCCTACCTGGCCATTTTGACTCTAAGACTATTCATGGCTAGTGTATATAGTTTGGTTTTCACTGGAACGATTATTAGTCTGACTTGTCTGGGTTGTAGCTCACTATGTTTGCATTGTTTGTACGCAGCCTGCTTATCTAGAGGGTAGCTGATATTTTTATGTAAGTACCTACAGGATTTCTCAATATATGGTTTTTACACCATGCAACCTATTTCTGTTTCAGCCTGGACAGTTTTAGACGGTGCAGTCTTGCTACATGGTGTGAGAAATGGCTGTAGGAAACAACACTCAACGAAGTCATTCCATCATCCCGTGTTTTATATTTGTTGAGGTATGTGCATTTTTTTAAACCTTTATGGACAAAGTAAAATAATAGTAGCTGTTTTTATGCTGAGAACTTGGATTGCTTTATAAAATTATTTAATCTCATGATAGATAATTAAATTTTGGTAGCACAAATATTGGTGAAGAATTAATAAATGATGCAAAATGTTTCTTAAATAGGAAGCCATAGAGTAAGAAGGTTTCCAGACTTCATCTTTGGGGTATAAAAATTGTGTTTTATTATATTTCTTTTATTTTCAATGGTGATGTGAATGTATTAACTAAGAAAGAGAATGCAGCATTTCAATTCAATTGTTCTTTAAAAATCAATATCCTGTTTCAGAAATTCAATAAACCAGGCATTTTACAGATGATGTTAGTTCATGGTCTTTTGCCTTGGAGCCCAAATAAAGGAAAATAATCTTAGAGTTGACCATCTCCACTGGGCATTTTTCTTTAGTGAGATATTGGGAGCTTGTATAATATGCGATTTCTTTTGGTCATGAATTATTTTGCTGCATAGCTCCAACTCTGTGCCAGAAAACAGTTTTCTAGCATCTTTTTGGATAAACCTCCTGGACCCTTTTCCCACTGTATCTCCCTCTCTCTGTTTGCTATAGAGGAGACAAAAACATGGAAATTGTAGGAAATTTCAAATCATATTATAATATGTAATTTGTAATATGTAATTATGTAATTTGAGGTTATCTCAAATTAAGATGTTGATTTGCCAGAGGTATTATAGTTTCTGCTTTCTCAAGGAAATAGGGCATCTAATGGATTGTTTTTCATCCTAAAGATGAGGTTTAAAATATGACAATGTAAAGAACTGAAAAGTAAGTGTTCTGAGCTCCCTGTCTGGGCAATTGCCTGGATAGTCTCCACACCCCAAACGTCAGCTGTAGCATATTCTATGTTGAGGCATCTTTCTGCTTGAGTGTGGGAGAAACACACTTACTGATCCATTTTATCACCCATGTACAAACAGACACTGGGGTTAAACCACTACTTTAGATGAGTAAAAATGTACTTTTAATACATGTGTTACTTATATGCAGCCTGTGAATCACTTAGACAAGTACTTGTATGATCTGCCTCTTGAAATAACTTTACCTGCCTGTACAGTCAGCCAATTTTGAATATTGTGATTTTTGGTAAGATATATGTGTTTGGCTGATCCTTGAGTTTCACCTTATAGACACATTGTATAATAGTTTAGATGAACATATATTACTTGATGATTTATTTTCTGGTGATATTTGTGAACTTGTTTGTATTGCAGAGCCAAGTAGAGATGAGAGAGAAGTCTAGGCCAGAGATGTTGATATAAGTCAAGGCACAAATGGGCTCAATCTAAGCTAAATCTCTAAAAGGGTTAACAAAGAATTCCTCTTTCAATAATAAACACATATTCTTAATATTCTGCTTTTAATTTGCTAACGCCAAAGATAGCTCCATTCAGATAATAACTATACATTATATTGTAGGTTCTAGTTACTATTGTTCTTATTGAAATTATGATGAAGGAAAAGGAGTCATTTTTCCTGCTCATGTGGAAAGGGTACAAGGTTTAGTAGCACTACCTTTTTCAATACTTTCTTTCTCTTTTGTTATAAGAAAAATAAGTTTTTAAAGTCAGCTGGGGGAAATTGGGGAATAAGTCATCTGTCATGATCTTTATCCTCCCAGCAGCAATTTTATTTTACATTTTCTTAAAAATCAAACAGGAACCAATCCTCAAAGTAAGAGGTTTAATTTATTGCAGGAAGCTGTAGTCTCTGAAGATTTTCAGCTCTCTAATGTGTGAATGATGAGGTTGGCTGGTGGAACAGCAACAAGAGAGATAAATCAGTCTTTCTGTAGCTTATCCTGACACAAACATAAATAGAAGTCTGAAAATCTGGGAGAGGAAAGATGGCTTATTCTTTTCCTTGTTGTATTGTCATTCTTATGTTGGATGGAAGTTTAAGACACATCAGTGACTTCTCTCAGAAACAGGCAGGCAAAAAAAAAAAAAAAGAGGACATGAATTAGAACACAATAGAAACCGACAGGGGAGGAGGTGAATCTCAATGTGGCTCTTGTGATTCTCATGTATTTCATTCATCAAACACTTATTCTTTTACTCCATTATTCCAGGCACTATAACAAGGGAATCAGAAAACTTGGCCAAAAATAACTTGGGTAAAATGTCAATTTGATCAATGAATATATTTTCATTGTTGGTTTTTAATTATGAAAGAATTCAAGCACAGAGAATGATATAACAGACATCCCTGAACTCACTAGCAAGACCAAATCTTAAAATTTTGCCATATTTGCCTCAAATATTTTTTTCAAGGAAAATAAAATGTTACAGATATGGCTGAAAGCCTACTTTCCTGAACCCAGAACCACTATATATGTGAAGTTAGAGGCTTCTTTACCCTATATGATTCCTATGTATGTTTTTGTATTTTTCCTACATATGCATATATTCATAAATATTTAGGGAAATTGTGCATAAATGATACCAGGATGAACCTTCCTTTTACATCTTGCCTTTTCTTTTTTTTTTTTTTTTTAGGCAAAGGCTCACTCTTTTAGGCTAGAGTGAGTGCCATGGCGTCAGCCTCGCTCACAGCAACCTCAATCTCCTGGGCTCAAGCTATCCTCCTGCCTCAGCCTCCCGAGTAGCTGGGACTACAGGCATGTGCCACCATGCCCGGCCAATTTTTTGTATATATATTTTTAGTTGGTCAATTAATATATTTCTATTTTTGGTAGAGACGGGGTCTCGCTCAGGCTGGTTTTGAACTCCTGACCTTGAGCAATCCGCCCGCCTCAGCCTCCCAAAGTGCTAGGATTACAGGCGTGAGCCACCGCGCCCGGCCCTACATCTTGCCTTTTCATTCAACGTTATATTTTTGAGACTTCTCCAGATTGGCAGTTTTGTTCATTTTAGTTGTCTGCAATTTATCCTATTGTGCAGATACATCTACAGTTTGATTATTTTGTTTGCTTAATATTTTTCTTTACTTTTACAAATATTTTGAAGAAAATATCCTTATTTCTGTCTCTGGGTACCTGTATGCCAGAATTCCCTTGAATGAATACTCAGCAGCAGAATTGCTAGGGGATAATTACATTTTCTAATTGTTTGTTGCTGCATTATATAAATAGCCTTGATACCCGTACATCAGGTCTTCTAAAGAAAATTTTAAAAACTCTGTTAGTTTTATGAATGTTTTGTGTATTCTTTAGATTTTTGTCAGACAATTGTATCCTTTGCAAGTAGTAACAGATTTATTTCTTCTCTTCTAATTGGTATGCCTTTAATTTAATTTTTTTTCTTGCCTTATTACTTTGCTTAAGCCCTCCTGTGTAATATCAAATAAATGCAGTGGTAGAAAACATTGCCTTGTTGCCAACTTTAAAGGAAATATTTCAGGCATTTTGCCATTAAATAATAAAAGTATGTGTACATTTTTTTCTATTCTCTGTTTTCCAGATTAGATTAATTTGTTTTAATCCTCCATTTCCTTCCTTTGTTGGTTGTAAATTATAGATTGTATTTCTATTCTTTTAAAAATTACTATTAAATATGTATACTTGACTCAACACAAACTGAGGTTAATCAATAGCTCTATGATTCTCTTAATCAATCAATGACTGTTCTTAGGAAACTTTGAGAATGTGTCATTCTTAATTTTTATATCTTCCTTAAATGTTTCACTATTTTTTTCAGTCAAGGTTTCTTTGAAGTTGTCCCACATATTTATATAAGTTTCTTTGTTTACTATTGCTTCTTTTATCCCTCTCCTCCTTTAATTTTCACATGAAGTCTATCTTTTAACAGTTCTTTCAGCAAAGCCTAGTATATTGTAAACATTTTAAATATTTATTTAAAATTGTCTTTATATTGAAATTAAGCTGGAATGATGATCTAGCTTAGCATTGAATTCTAGATTGAAGGGATTATTTTCCATCCTCAGAACTTTCATTTGTATTTTTATTACATGTTTATTGCATTTTATTCTTCATGACCTTTATTATTGTTGTGAAACTCTTCTCTTTTAGTACTGTTCTTAATAGGTGATTCACTTTTTCTCTCTAGTTGCTTTTAAATTTTTCTTTTGCTTCGGTGCCCTGCAATTTACTATAATATGTCTAAGTTTGAATTTATACAGGCCAGGACTTGTTTTGCATCTTTAATATCAAAAGTCGTGTTTGTCACTAATTATGTAAAACTCTCAGCCATGATTACCCCTTCAAATACTCTTTCTTCTGCAGCATCTATTTGATATATGTTATATTGTCTAATTCTTTCTATATTATGTCTCATAACCCATCTTGTTTTAATTTCCAAAAGTTCTATGTGTGTTTTTGAATATCTGCCTATTTTACATTGTCATTTTCTGTGCTTATGGTTTTATTTTTGTCTTTAATTATACTAAATGTATTTTATATTCTTTCTGATTGTCATATTATCTGAAATTATTGGCACTCTGATCCTCTTGTTCATTGTGTCTGCTGTGTCTAGCTCACGGTATATTGTTTCCTTATTTATTTTCGTATTTTTTAAAGCTCAGTTTAGCAGAACTTCCTGCTTCTGTGTAAGATTCATGTGCTCCTTAAGTTTTGAGAGTATCACTTTGGAAGGGGTTTGCATGAATATTTCCCTTGGGCTTAGCTTCTATATTCAGAACTCCAACTTACAGTCTCAAAAGTATACTTAGTCAAAGTTCATCTTCCTTGTAGTCTTCCTATGCCAGCAGGTAGAATTATATAGAATATTCTTTCTCTGAAGTGAAAAGCAAGCCTTCAGGAATCTTAGCTTTCCCATAGGAGTCTCAGTTCTGACTCAAGTCCTCATGCCGTATCCCTGGGAACAGTAAAGCCCAAACCTTGTTACTGAAATTTACCTATACCCCTTTCTGTACACCTGCCTAGGCCCACTGTGGCATCAGTTTATTCAGGTAGCACTTTTATATGTGGTACCCTTTTTGTTTCAGCTTACCTGTGAAT